GAAGGTCGTGATGGTCGCCGTTACGAAATCATAGACGCCATAAAACAAAATTTAATAACTTACAATTTAGAGTTAAATTCTTTACGAAAATTATATAAGAATGTAGCCTGAAGTTCCAGCTTTGCAATGAAATTATAAAAGTTCACAAATTGTTTACAGAAATTAAGTAATTAATAATTCTTCACTGCCGGAGCCATTCTATTCTTTACTATCCCTTCTCTGTCCTCGTCTATCACGTGACCAGCACTTCGTCGACCTCCTTGCCTATTCTATATTCCTATTACTTTCGGAGCATTTGGACCCAAATAATAGATGGCGTTGATCGAAACTGCCGAATGAAAAATCACGTGACCCGTTGGGCGGGAGAAACAAAACAATAAAAGGACATAAATAATTATAACACATTTTTCTTCCTTTTTTTTAGTCTCTTAATAGCCCGTTGAACATGAAATCACAGATGAAGATGCGTGGTTTTGTTCTTAGTAGAAAGAAAATGAAACTGCAATGGTTATATGCTTAGGTATCTTTTATTCAGTTTGAAAGTTTCACATATACACATTAATTGTTAACGACATAATAAACAATGATATATAGACATTAGAATCTGAGCAGATGTTCGTATCACAGACCGTTGCGAGAAAAAGATATTTCGTAATATATATCACGTAATAATTATCATTATAATGACCATATATATATGTAACAATATTTATAGACATATACACACTACTGCAAATGATTCTGTTCAAATACGCGAGTTATATTACTAATGCTAGATATTGATTTATCTTGCATCTATCTCTCTTATCGCGCATCTCCTCGGCTTTCTCTCGTGTTAAACCTCATAAGAAGTTCTTTATTCCCTATTCATTTTCCTTTATATCTTTATCATCTTCAACATCAACTATTTTATAATTTTCTACTTTCTTCAGTTCCTTTTTTGCATCTGTCAATTTATTTTTTATCCTTTCCTTCATTGCTCTGGAAATATAAATATAAGACAGTCAATAAAAATTCCTATTTTCCATAACATAATTATAATGTAAACAATAAACTAATTCTTTCTCTTTCTTTAAAACTTCTAATTCTTCTTGAGTCTTTACTTCATCCTTACTTTCCCAATTGCGACTACGGTCTTCCTTCTTTTTTTTATTTGCATGTCCAGGTGGTTCAACAGCTGGTTGTGAACTTAATTTTGGATCAGTTAAATAATCATGAGCCGATTTGCCCTTACCACTAAACTTTTTATTTAATTTTTCTGCACAAATTCTTTTTCATCTTTCTCTGCTTTTTCACTAAATGATGAAAGATTGAAATTTCTGTAACAAAATTTTTTATTGCAAAAAACAATACTATCAGGGCTAAATTTTGCAAACATATATGATTTTTACTTTACTGCTGCTAGCAGGAAGCTACGCACTGGAGATCTTGGAATTCCACTTAACCCTGAGGAAAGGTTTGAACGAAACTTACATACCAAAAATGACCATAAACATATCTACAATACCTATCTACTGACCATTCAGCAGCCCATAAATACAGGGGCCTTATGATATGGCTCCAGTACAGTTAGTGTGGGATACTGATGTCTGTTTGAAAAGATTGGGCTTGATTAAAGCCACCACGCAGCACAGAAGATGAATTTTGATAATATTGGTTTGCCCTAAACAATTTCTTTTACTAATTCATTTTTTATTAAACACTGCTACAAAACTTTTAGCTAAAATATATAAATTTAAATAATTTTTGGGGCAATTGGGCAACAACTAAAGTAGTATTATATTAATATTGATGATTAAATCTAATGAAAGTACATTTTTCCCCTCAAACGTACTTGTTCCACTTTCGAAATAAAAATTTTCTATATATTGTTTATGCATAAATAATAAGTGCTAATAACATTCTATACAATCAGATGTGTAAATTAGAGAACAACTAATAGTAGCAGTGTTTAACACACAGTGGGTATTCTAGTCCATATATCTTTTTAAATAGTTATATTCTTGCACATGTAGGGAAATTCAGAGGTGTTCCTATGCAGACTGCTTTATTCAAGTTAATAGGCTGTATTTCATTATTGTAACGCACAGTTACGAACTATTTGATATCGGTCGTTTTAATAGAATAATGAAAAATTTGTGCATAGGGCACCTTAATAGACACTTTCTTTATTAGGCTGCCGTGATTTGCACGGCATTTTGAACTTTAATACTGTAATGCCACAGGAACATTTATCATTAATTAAATAAAATAGATTTTTATTCTTAACCACAATTTAATGAGCAGATTTCAGGAAAATAATGAAATTAATAAAATTATGATTGCTAATATAAGCATAATACTATAAAGATCAATATTACGTTACTTTCAGGTACAACTTAAATAAATACACATTAATTTTTCTAATAAATTAATTTACTCCAATAGGTTTAACTTTTCTGATTTTAGCTGGAACCATTATTTTATATCATTGTGTTTCATTAGTATTATACAATATAGTAAGATATACAAACTATTATTAACTAACCCAAAAAAATTATTTCCTAATAATCACAGGATCTATCTTAGCAGCTGACATCATACCGATTTCTGCCGTGCACAAACGCGCAGTCTTCCAGTGGTTACCTACTGAATAGACTTATAGCAATGTTATATTTAACATTACATAATTTTTTACTGTTTATTTTAACATCTTGGCACTGTTGGAAAACATCGAAAATTAGTCTTTCCCAAGTATAGGGACGATGTATTTTACAATCAGTTAACAATTTCATTATTAGGATTTTTTTTCATTTTTTCTAGACCTTTTCTTGTTTTGGTTCAAAATTAATAAATATATCCCTTAAATATTTGTAGCAATTGTTAACTTTTATGTTTGTATAGTTTTCTTATTCTTCGTATGTTGTCACATCTGTGAAAAATTAAGATAATGTTACATATACACACATTTAATATGTACATAATAGATAATTTTTATAAATTATCAATTTTCGTTTGTTTTTTTAATACAAAAATTAAAATTTGATTTACTCAGTGGAAAGTTTTATGTATATTTTATGTTTCTTTAAATTTTCCAACATGGTCAGAATTTACTTTGTTTATTAAAAAGAAAATAGAAGGAGTATATGTTAAAGAAAAATTTATAACTAAAGCCTAATAACTTTGAAAATCAATTAAAATTTTGTCTCAGTTTCCAACTTTCTGCTAATAATCAGCAGTTCTTTTCTCACTTAATCACACAATCATAGTAGGATCAGGTTGCTTGTATGCTAGTACCATCTTAATGTAAACTTATTTTCTTGACAAAATTTTATTTTTTTATTTTGCAGATCTCCATCGCCAGAACCCATATACAGTAGTGATGGTAAACGGTTGAATACAAGAGAATACCGTACTAGACGTAAATTGGAAGAAGAACGTCATAATCTCATTCAGAAGATTCTCAAAATTAATCCAGAGTTTAAACCTCCACCAGATTATAAGTAAGTAAAGAATATTTTATCATGTATATTTAAAGCGTCAACCTGTTTATTATGTGTTGTATTTAAAATATTATTTTTAGGCCGCCAATAATACGTGTTCATGATAAAGTAATGATCCCCCAAGAAGAACATCCAGATATTAACTTTGTTGGTCTCTTGATTGGTCCACGTGGAAATACGTTAAAATGTAGGATAAATTAATTTATGATATTTATAAAATACTGAAATTTTATGTTAATTCTATTCATTCTTTTTTTTTTCTTAATATAGCAATGGAGAAGGAAACTGGAGCAAAGATAATAATCCGCGGCAAAGGTTCTGTAAAAGAAGGAAAAGTTGGAAGGAAAGATGGACAACCTTTGCCTGGTGAAGATGAACCTTTACATGCATACATTACTGCTAACAATCTGGATGCTGTAAAAAAAGCTGTTGAAAGAGTATGTAAGATTTTTATAAATTAATATGTTTATAAGTTATAAGTGTACTATGAGAACATAATTTTAATAGATTCACGAAATAATACGACAAGGTGTTGAAGTACCTGAAGGACAAAATGACTTACGACGTAATCAACTTAGAGAATTGGCTTTATTGAATGGAACATTGCGTGAAAATGATGGACCACGTTGTACTAACTGTGGTGCGTCTGATCACAAATCATGGCTGGTTAGTATATTGATAATTAAACAGATCTATTTTAAATACTACAAGCAGATTGATCTCATTTTTATTTTATTTATTGCAGTGTCCAGATAAACCTAACGTAACAAATAACATAGTATGCTCGAGCTGTGGTGGTGCAGGTCACATTGCACGTGATTGTAGATCTAAAAGACCGGGGCAAGGTGGACCAGCTGCAGCAGGCATGGGTGGAATGGGTCCAGGTGGAGATAAAGCTAAAATAGATGAAGAATATATGTCTCTTATGGCAGAATTGGGTGAAGGTCCGCCGCCTGATCGATCCAAAAGTGGGCAACCACGTCAACCAAATCCAAATCCTAACTATCCTGGTCTTTTCGATAGGTAAATTATTTTCATTTTTCTTGCTTTTATAAACGATAATATACATATATAATAATCATCTTGCAATTATTTTTAGGCAACAAGCACCTCGTGCTTTAATGGCTGCACCAGCACATCCGCCACCGCAAATGATGCAAGGCGGTCCAATGATGCCGCCACCAGGAATGGCACCACCACCTTGGAGTCAAGGAGAAGTAAATAACATGAATGGTATGAACATGCAATGGCAACCCCCAGTTAGTATGCCTCCTCCACCTGGTGTAATGCAACCACCTCCACCACCGCCTGGTTCTACATCTCAACCAAATATTCCACCACTGATGCCTTGGATGGCTGGAAACAATCAACCACCGCCACCAGGACAAATGCCACCGACGCAAATTCCGCCACCTGGAATGGGTATACCACCATGGCAACAAGGACAACAAGGACCAATGCGTCCACCTCCACCTGGAACTGCTCCACCACCAGGTTTCCCAGGATGGCAACCACAACAAATGGGTGGGTGGCCACCAGCAGCTCCTGTTCCTCCTCCACCACAACAAACACCAGCTCCGCCTGGCATTGATCTCAATACTTTACCAACGTTATTGGCACAACCACCTCCACCACCCCCACCAACTAGTTAGTGTAAAGAATCATCAAATCGTCTAATCAAATCTTCTTTATTCGTACAATAGAGGGATATTATCGGTCGTGTCAGTAAATAGATTATAATATTGGACTGAAGACAATTAACTATTACTTAGTTGGAATAATTCGCGATTTTATTTAGTCCGTTCGTCGTATATGGCTTTGTTCTTTATAAGTGGAAAAGTATATAGTTAGATATACGTTTTTCAATCCACCTTAAGAAACGTATGCTGTTTATAAGACATTGCTTTAGGTTTACTATATATATTTGGAACGCCAAGTACGTAGCGTACTTGATAAATGAAAATCTGTACGTTTTGGTTACCATTACTTTCAAATTTATTGTATGTATCTAAAGCTTTCTTACAAGTGTAAATGTAAGTGATATGCCAAACACGTTTTTATAATATTACTTCAAGCACTTCATAATTTTTACTTACATGTTTCTCTAAACATAATATCGTACATTATAAATTAAAATATAAATTACTTATAATTTGTGAGTAGTATGCATAATACTATGTGTACTGTAGTATTGTATACTACAGTATTTAGTTACATTTGTTGCTTTGTACAAGTGTAAAAAACTTTTGCTTCAGTATATTACCTACGGTGAAGGTTAACGTTATACAATAAATGTTTGTAGCAAAGAAATGATTTTTTTATGGGACTATATACATAAGTTCCTACAACAATTCTAATCAATTTTGTATTACAGTTTCGATAATTTTGATCGATGTAGCCTTTCACAAAATATTAGGTAATACAGTGAAGCATCAGAATTGTTTTTTGTACAAGCAATGATTTGTCAATTTTAAATAATCACCCAGATTATTTGTATAGATTAAGTATAAGTTCAACAAAAAAATGTCTTTTTTTTCACTTTACGAACGAAGCATATTTACGATTCATCGATCACCAAAACATGGTATTGTAAACGTCCAAGCGCAATAATTTCGTATCACTGGTTCACTAGTAAGAAGTAAATTTATTGAAGTCATAAATTATATAAAAACTCCGCTTTATATGAAATAACATTAGTATTGCGTGTTATGTTTAGGACTCAGAATAATAGTTTGTGAAACTTTATGATAGCTTAATGTGTATGTTAACTACACAATAAAGGTATATCATATTAAAATATGAATTTGTTCTGTTAAATCTGTCTTTTAAATTAATCTACTCATATGGAAAAAATAATTTTTAAATAGTTTTTTTATTAATAAATTAAAAATTATGTTTTCATTTAAACATTAATCTTATATTTTCAAATTTGAAATTATAGTTAAGATATCTGTGGTGCTCTTGCCCGACTTGTAGCGCGCCTCCGGAATCAGAACAATGGTGACCCCAAGTGTTTAGTCAAGTACTTAGTGGAGTTTTTTCATACAAGGAAAGTGCAAGTCCTTCCGATTACCGACATAGTTGAAACATAGATACCGTCATGCAGTTCAAGAACATATATCATTATAGCTGCAATTATTCAACAGTTCTTGAGATATTTATGATTAAAGTTTTATTGCTTCTTTATTTATAGATTTATTTCCAATTCTTTTCGAGTCACTGCTTTCATACGAACCACTCTCTTTTCTTTATATACCTCAGCTCCATCATTCTAAAATATAACACATTAGTGCTGGTCAACAATATTTCTCTATGTAAGAGCTTAGATTTAATTTTCTACATTTATCATTTAGCAACATTTGGACTCTATATTCAATTTATACCTACTACCTATCATAACTATTACAAAGTGTTCATTCTCCATTTCTTCAATGATCCTCATATTTGCATGTCAATGGCACACATCCTCTGTTGATACATATGCTGTCTCTTTCCTGTTTCTTGATTCGACATAATATGCTGTTCCCCTTCTCACTGCTTTCTTTCCAACCACTCTCTTTTCTTTATCTACCTTAACTCCATAATTCTGAAACATAACACATTAGCGATGATCATTGACTTTGACCACAGATATTAATATTTATTTAAATCAGGAATACAACATACCCCTGAATCTCAGTGTATTCTCTATACTCAGTTATTATAAGAGGACATCACCTAAATTAATTTCATTCCTTTTGGTCTGCCTAAGCCATCTCCATTTTTTGAATCTTCATTTGACCATCAAATATTTCTATCTTGTATGTTCTGTCGTTAACTGACCTAGAATACAATACTTATATTATAACATATTTGTATTGCTCCATCAATTTTTTCTCGCTATAACATATAATATATAATTCAATAAATATAAATATAAAATATAATTTTTGGCATCTCATGGCTCCATGCTGGTGATATTCCATGCGTCCAATATTTTTCTACTGTTGCACATGCCTGATTATTTTAACAGAATATTGTCTTTTCACAACCAAGCTCTGCTATCACTAATAAAAGGTGGAAAAACAATGGCTCATAACTTACACTATTTAATTACAACTGAAGGTTGTGTTAATACAAAGACTTACATTCTTTTGTGTTATGCAGGTACACCTGCATGTACACGACAATGCTTCCAGCATTTGTTTGCAATTTTTTCTCATTTCCTATGCACTCTCCTCTTCACTTGTAAAAAAATTAACAAATCACTTAATTTCTGTGATTAATTTATGAACTTTTATAATTGCGTTGTAAAGGCGTACCTTTGGATATTTGTCGTCTGCCAGATAAAGAAATGAATGCTGATTGTCTAATTAAAACCACTGTTTTTGGCTGAATTTATTAAAGAATGTAGAAAACTTTATGGGATTCTTAAGTGAACAAAAAGAAGGAAGGGGAATGTGTGTTAGTTATTTATGTCGTTTTGTTGGTTTATTTATTCGTCCGCACGTCACGTGGAGTTAGGCGACCTCCAGGCGCAATCTATGTTCTTTCTACCTAATCTGACAAGGAGAGTGCAAGTCCTTCGGGTCACCGATTTAGTTGAAACTTTGCAGGATTGTAGATATCGTCATGCAGTTTAAGAAAATATATCATTATAGCGACAACTACTCAATAGCTTTTGAGATATTTACGATTAAAGTTTTATTACTCCTGGAATTACAACTTTATTTTCAATATTTTTTAATTGTTATTGTAGCTTAATGATGATAGTCGAGAATTTTTTTTTTATTATAGGAGACTTTCAAACATGAGTAATATTTATATGCAAAAGCCAGCCATTAAAGGTAAAGTAATAAGTATCATTTAATAATACTTCCATGGATTGTATATCTATTTTTAAAAATTTAACCTATATACAATATTTACTTTCTAAATTTCTATATTAATATATTAAATAATTTCTCACTTGAATTACAATAGTAAATAATAAATTTTAATAAATTTGATTTTAAAGGTATTTTACATTAATCAAACTAATGTATTTCTTATAACTAGGTTGTAATGAAAACAACTGTTGGTGATGTTGAGTTAGAATTATGGGCAAAAGAAATTCCAAAGGCATGTAGAAATTTCATACAGTTATCTATGGAAGGTTATTAGGGTGACACTATCTTTCATAGAATTATCAAAGGATTCATAAAGCACAAGGTGGTGATTCCACGGGTACAGGAGAAGGTGGTAAAATATATGGAGAACCATTAAAAGTGAGACTATATTTAAAAATAATATGAATTCCTTTTTTATCGAAAAATAATTATTGGATATATATGTTTTAGGACGAATTTCATACACGATTACGTTTTTGTCGACGAGATTTAATTGCTATGGTTAATGCTAGAAAGATGACAATGGTTCCCAATACTTCTTTATTCTTAGTTCTACACCAGATTTGCAGAATAAGCATACAATTTCTGGTAGAGCTACTGGAGAATCTATATATAGTATGCTTAAACTCGAAGAAGCACTTGTAAATGAGGTAAATTTAATGTTTACAAGAAAATATATCAATAATTGATATAAATATAATATTTCCCCTTTTTTGCAGAATGATAGACCACTTTATCCTCCAAGATTGATAAAAACTATAATATTGAACAATCCATTTTCTGATATTATACCAAGAATAATAGTACAGGAAAGTGAAGAAGTAAAGAACAGTTAAAAAACTAAAACAGCAGCAGTAAAGTAAAAATCATATATGTTTGCAGAATTTAGTCCTGATAGTATTGTTCTTTACAACGAAAAATTGTGTTACAGAGATTTGAATCTTTTATCATTTGGTGGAGAAGCAAAGGAAGATGAAGAAGAATCTGTGATATTAAATAAAAAGTTTACTGGTAAGGGCAAATCAGCTCATGATCATTTAACTGATCCAAAATTAAGCTCACAAACAGCTGTTGAACCATCTGGACTTGCAAATAAAAAAAGGAAGGAAGGCCGCAGTAGCGATTGGGAAAGTGACGCCGAAGTAAAAACTCAAGAAGAATTAGAAGTTGTAAAGAAAGAGAAAGAGTTAGTTTATTGTTTACATTATAACTATGTTATAGAAAGTAGGAATTTTTATTGACTGTCTCTTATATTTATATTTTCAGAGTAATGAAGAAAAGGATAAAAAATACATTGAGAGATACAAAAAAGGAACCGAGGAAAGTACAAAATTATAAAATAGGTGATGCTGAAGATGATAAGAATATAAAGGAAAATGAATAGGGAATAAAAAACTCCTTATTAGTGTAGCACAGGAGAAAGCCGAGAAGATGCACGATAAGAGATATCAAGAATTATTAGGATAACTCATGTATTTGAATAGAATCATTTATCATATGTTTATAAATATTGTACATATATATATGGTCATTGTAATGATAATTATTAGGTGATATGTATTACGAAACATCTTTTTCTCGAAACCGTCCGTGATACGGACATCTATTCAGATTCTAATGTCTATATGTTATTGTTTATTATGTCGTTAACAATTAACATGTATATGTAAAACTTTCAAAGTGAATAAAAAGTACCTAAGCATATAACAATTGAAGTTTCGTTTTCTTTTTACCAAGAATAAAACAACGCATCTTCATCTGTGACTTCATGTTCGTCTGGCTTTTAAGAGAGTAAAGAGAAGGAAGAAAAATGTGTTATAATTATTTATGTCCTTTTATTGTTTTGTTTCTCCCGCCCAACGGGTCACGTGGTTTTTCATTCGGCAGTTTCGATCAGCGCCATCTATTATTTGGCTCCAAATGCTCCAAAAGTGATAGGAATATAGGATAGGCAAGGAGGTCGACGATGTGCTGGTCACGTGGTAGACAAGGACAGAGATGGGATAGAAAAGGATAGAATGGCTCCGGCAGTGAAGAATTATTAATTACTCAATTTCCGTAAACAATTTGTGAACTTTTATAATTTCGTTGCAAAGCTGGAACTTCAGGCTACATTCCTATATAATATTCGTAAAGAATTTAGCTCTAAATTGTTAGTTATTAATTTTTGTTTTATGGCGTCTATGATTTCGTAACGGCGACCATCACGACCTTCCGTGAAAATATTTATTACTAAACGAAACTAGAAGCAAAATGTGATCAAAAGTTATATGAGAAGATTCGCAAGAACATTGTCTTTCTAACGAGTGCATAAAGTTTCATAAATTAATTGCGTAGAGGATAGTAATTAATGAAAAACCAATGGCGTCTTCGACAACAATTCAAACACTGCGTAGAATAATAATTAATAATAAATTAATTAGGGACAAATCTATATCGAAAAATATATTGGAAAGTTCTTGAAGGATCTGCCTTTACGATGCAATTATAAAAGTTCATAAATTAATCGCAGGAATTGAGTAATTAATTAATTTTCTAATAAAAATTCTAAAAGGAACAGTCAGCGCCACCTATGACTCTTATCTGGAACTGTTCCGCTAGTTCCAGTACACAGCTGTAGGTGGCGCTGACTGTTCCTTTTAGAATTTTTATTAGAAAATTAATTAATTACTCAATTCCTGCGATTAATTTATGAACTTTTATAATTGCATCGTAAAGGCAGATCCTTCAGCAACTTTCCTATATATTTTTCGATATAGATTTGTCCCTAATTAATTTATTATTAATTATTATTCTACGCAGTGTTTGAATTGTTGTCGAAGACGCCATTGGTTTTTCATTAATTACTATCCTCTACGCAATTAATTTATGAAACTTTATGCACTCGTTAGAAAGACAATGTCCTTGCGAATCTTCTCATATAACTTTTGATCACATTTTGCTTCTAGTTTCGTTTAGTAATAAATATTTTCACGGAAGGTCGTGATGGTCGCCGTTACGAAATCATAGACGCCATAAAACAAAAATTAATAACTAACAATTTAGAGCTAAATTCTTTACGAAAATTATATAGGAATGTAGCCTGAAGTTCCAGCTTTGCAACGAAATTATAAAAGTTCACAAATTGTTTACGGAAATTGAGTAATTAATAATTCTTCACTGCCGGAGCCATTCTATCCTTTTCTATCCCCTCTCTGTCCTTGTCTACCACGTGACCAGCACATCGTCGACCTCCTTGCCTATCCTATATTCCTATCACTTTTGGAGCATTTGGAGCCAAATAATAGATGGCGCTGATCGAAACTGCCGAATGAAAAACCACGTGACCCGTTGGGCGGGAGAAACAAAACAATAAAAGGACATAAATAATTATAACACATTTTTCTTCCTTCTCTTTACTCTCTTAAAAGCCAGACGAACATGAAGTCACAGATGAAGATGCGTTGTTTTATTCTTGGTAAAAAGAAAACGAAACTTCAATTGTTATATGCTTAGGTACTTTTTATTCACTTTGAAAGTTTTACATATACATGTTAATTGTTAACGACATAATAAACAATGACATATAGACATTAGAATCTGAATAGATGTCCGTATCACGGACGGTTTCGAGAAAAAGATGTTTCGTAATACATATCACCTAATAATTATCATTACAATGACCATATATATATGTACAATATTTATAAACATATGATAAATGATTCTATTCAAATACATGAGTTATCCTAATAATTCTTGATATCTCTTATCGTGCATCTTCTCGGCTTTCTCCTGTGCTACACTAATAAGGAGTTTTTTATTCCCTATTCATTTTCCTTTATATTCTTATCATCTTCAGCATCACCTATTTTATAATTTTGTACTTTCCTCGGTTCCTTTTTTGTATCTCTCAATGTATTTTTTATCCTTTTCTTCATTACTCTGAAAATATAAATATAAGAGACAGTCAATAAAAATTCCTACTTTCTATAACATAGTTATAATGTAAACAATAAACTAACTCTTTCTCTTTCTTTACAACTTCTAATTCTTCTTGAGTTTTTACTTCGGCGTCACTTTCCCAATCGCTACTGCGGCCTTCCTTCCTTTTTTTATTTGCAAGTCCAGATGGTTCAACAGCTGTTTGTGAGCTTAATTTTGGATCAGTTAAATGATCATGAGCTGATTTGCCCTTACCAGTAAACTTTTTATTTAATATCACAGATTCTTCTTCATCTTCCTTTGCTTCTCCACCAAATGATAAAAGATTCAAATCTCTGTAACACAATTTTTCGTTGTAAAGAACAATACTATCAGGACTAAATTCTGCAAACATATATGATTTTTACTTTACTGCTGCTGTTTTAGTTTTTTAACTGTTCTTTACTTCTTCACTTTCCTGTACTATTATTCTTGGTATAATATCAGAAAATGGATTGTTCAATATTATAGTTTTTATCAATCTTGGAGGATAAAGTGGTCTATCATTCTACAAAAAAGGGGAAATATTATATTTATATCAATTATTGATATATTTTCTTGTAAACATTAAATTTACCTCATTTACAAGTGCTTCTTCGAGTTTAAGCATACTATATATAGATTCTCCAGTAGCTCTACCAGAAATTGTATGCTTATTCTGCAAATCTGGTGTAGAACTAAGAATAAAGAAGTATTGGGAACCATTGTCATCTTTCTAGCATTAACCATAGCAATTAAATCTCGTCGACAAAAACGTAATCGTGTATGAAATTCGTCCTAAAACATATATATCCAATAATTATTTTTCGATAAAAAAGGAATTCATTTTATTTTTAAATATAGTCTCACTTTTAATGGTTCTCCATATATTTTACCACCTTCTCCTGTACCCGTGGAATCACCACCTTGTGTTATGAATCCTTTGATAATTCTATGAAAGATAGTGTCACCCTAATAACCTTCCATAGATAACTGTATGAAATTTCTACATGCCTTTGGAGTTTCTTTTGCCCATAATTCTAACTCAACATCACCAACAGTTGTTTTCATTACAACCTAGTTATAAGAAATACATTAGTTTGATTAATGTAAAATACCTTTAAAATCAAATTTATTAAAATTTATTATTTATTATTGTAATTCAAATTAGAAATTATTTAATATATTAATATAGAAATTTAAAAAGTAAATATTGTATATAAGTTAAATTTTTAAAAGCAGATATACAATCATGTTTGTAAGTTTCCTATAATAAAAAAAAATCCTTTGCTAATAATATTTCAGCAGCTAAGACGTACCTTTTACCTCCTTTCAACGTTGGCTTTATTGGTCCAATCAATTATTTCTGCTGCTTTTATAATTTCCAAATTACTACAGATATTTCTACACATTTGTGCCTTAATGCAACATTTACATTTTATATTCAAACACAATCATCCCTAGCTGGTTGTTACGTTAAAACGTAACTAAAACGTTACGAAAAAGGCGGTGCTGGCCATGACGGAAGAGTGCTAGAAGACGATACATAGCGCAAGAACTTGTTTGCGCGGATGGTGCTGACGCATCTCGGCCGACAGAGCAAGGCCCGATATGCGCTGCAACCAAGCGGGGGCACCACATATTGGAAGCAATATTGCAGCCCCCTGGTAGTGATTCTAACAGACATTTTTATGAATATGATTACATTCTGTGGTGAATCTAAATAAGGCACAGAAGTTCCAAGTTTTTAATATATTTACAGCAGATATTTAATGCCGTTTTTTGTCATTGCGTAGTTTTACATTCGTATGATTTTCTACCATTTTCAATTACAAAATTTCATACAATAGTACATTTATATTAAAGTAAAAGTAAATTTTAAAAGATTAGGAATGTTGGAAGAAACTGCGAATGGTTGGATGGTCGGTCTATATTCATTTTTTGAGATTTCGCAATTTACACCAATCGTTTCTAATTTATGGGATAAAGAAACATCCAGTGTGCAGTATATAAATGCTACGAAAATAAAAAAGCTTGATGTATTGCTCGGATATTTAATTCTGTTTTGGGTTATTTTATATCTTATGTACGAAAAGTGTCTTAATGTAAGTTTCAGCAATTTATTTTTTGCTTCTGTTATGTATTATGTTGTGTTAATTAATGAATTTGTCAATTATTTTTTTTTTGGGGTTATTTGCAAAGAGTGCAGATAATGGATAACAAAGCCTATTGACAGTACATTTGATAATTTTCATTTATTAACACAGTCGTTACTTCGACGTATGCGCATTCCATTGATGCAGAGAAATAGAATAATCAAGGCTGTGTGGAATTGTGGATTTTGCTTTGGTAGCATTTGTTATCTAAAATCACCCACAATTAAAACATTGAACTTCGTCTCTGAAGAATTGGAAATAACACATGAGGAATTGGGTGTCATTTTACATAAAAGCTTTTACTTCCATCGGGCAGGAATAGAAATTTTGTGCAATGGAGCTTGGACAAAAGGCTGGGCCAATTTGTTATTTGCATCTTTCATCATGAATTCGTATCAGAAAAAGTAAAGAAGCTTATATTTTAATATTTAGCACCTGCTTGTCCATTCGTACAACTTTATTTATATTTTTTGAACATAGAATAATTCATTGTAATTTAGCTACTATGTCTGTTTAAATGATGGGAACTCTGAAAAATATTGTATGATATTTGTAATCTTTATAGGTGGTGTACAATAGTGAGCACTTTTCTATTTTATACAGCAGTTAATACTATTATAATAGATACTTGTCGAATTTTGTTATGCATATCTCATTATAGTGGAAGAAAGTTATCAAAATTACTTTTTTGTCTTCATGGTCTTAGTTGGTTAGTATAGTAGAAATTTGATATATTTCTAATTGTAATATGTTCTTAATAAATATTTTTTTTAGGATATATTTACATGCATTATTTGTACCAAAATTGATGTTATGGCCAGAAAATATAAATTATTCAAGAATGCAATTTGGCTTATGGCTCTGGTTCACGGCGGAATGTCTAGATTCTGTAATATCCTTAAATAATTTATTTATAAATTTTTTGTTAAATTACAATATTTATTTTGGTGTAACAGTATTAATCTTATTAAAAAATGTAATTTTTAGGTATGGTTTAGACTTTTAGGATGTGTAAAAGCTACACATTGGTTAGAAATTTGTTTATTTCCCTCTCCAACACGAGAAGCAATTGAATTAGCAGGAATACAAAAACGACATAGAGATTCTTTAAAAAAATTAGTTAATAGAACATCAAAAAAAACCGAACTCTGGCAAACATTGTTTTGTAAGTATATTTCAGTAAAACATTTACATATTATGATTTACATATTATGACAATAATTATGATTTTTAAATAAAATTAGGTGCTGTGGCTATTAAGAAAAAAATCAAAAGAATTAGGCAGGCAAAACAGAGTAATTCTATACAAGTAATCAATTCTATAGAAGAAAAGAAAGAAGAAAAATTAATTGAAATAATGGAAACAGCAGAAATAAATAAGGAGCAAACAAACGAGAATATAAATTAATGTAGTAAAACTGAAGGTGAATAACTTGCTTATATTTCTTAAGATAATTCAAAGATTCCTAGTTGCAAGCTATATTTATAAAAAGTTTTAAGATGGAAGATATTGAAAAAAAAAGAAACGAAATATGCACAAAATTTTGTATTTAGTATAAAAATCAAATTTATTTAAGAATTTTATAGATATACACCTGTTTATGTAGAAAGTTTTATCATTTACATACTTACAAATTAATGGTGCATTTCGCAAGTAATAATATCTTTTTCGCATCTTATACAAACCTTTCTCAAGGTTTGTGTGATTAATTAAATATTTCAGTAATGTTACAGTCGAGTTTGCAAAGTGTGTATTTATACAAGGGTATGTAAAAACAGTATTTCGTATGAGTATCTTGTAAATTACTAATTTAAATTTAGGCATTTAATAATTACTTCTAAACAATAGCTCTTAATATAAATTTATTTGTTGAATGTTAGTTTAAGAAATAAGTTTAGGTTTTTCAATAATGCGGTATAAATGTATTATATATTACTCATACAATTCTGTCGTTCGTTCTTTGATCATTAAGCTACAGGCACGATATGTAGATCTATATGACGAAGTATTATTTTTCATTATTCATTTTTATTTGTTAAGATAATATTACCTTCGCTTCTATGGAACTAATATTGCGAGGTATATTGTAACAAAATATGAAATGTTAAATTTCATTATTTTATTTGTAACAGTAAATAATAACTAAAGATTGCGACATAGAGCTATACATCTTTGAAAAATAAAGTTGTAATTTTGATAAAACAGCTGAAATTTCAAAACTTCGACTTCAGTCAAATGTTATTTTAAATAGTATTCATTTTTCGAAATTTTCACTGTTTAGAAAATAAAAAAATATAATTGTTACATGTATAGATTTAAATACAAGGACTATAGGATTAGATGTTGGTCCAGGAAAATATGAAATTTATCGTTTATCCTTTTGTAGCTACTCAATAACTACAACTTCTTAAATTCAAACATAAAATTCCTATATGTAAGAAGCAAAAGAATAAAAATAATTCATTGTATAAAATACACTACAGAGTTAAAAATTAAGTATCTAAACTTAAATATTTAAGAATTGAAGCATGTTTTTCGTGTGCATTTTGCTACAAAGAAAAGCTATTTAAATGACACGTTGTTCCTAGATATATAAAGTTTTATTTCCGATCATTTTGGACTGTGTCAATAAAATATAGTACATGTATTTAGGCTGAATTGTTCCACAATGTTATACAGTTTAATGAAAAATATTATAAACGAATGTTTGAATAAAATCGTATTCAATATGATGGCAGCGTCGTATGCCTTGATAATATCGTATTTCTAAAAATTGTTAAAACATTCGGTTTAGAAACTTATACATAAACCGTTCAGATATACAAATGCATAATACATTTTTTCGATTCAACAATTAATGATAAAATTATTCAAGCGATCTTATTTTTATATCAATATTTGAAGGGAGATGTCATAGAGAGTTCCTATGGTTTTGCAAATATGTAAATACATGTTTTTCCAATATAACTAAAGAATTATAATTTTTGTCTGCAAATAGATATTGGGTAAAATGATTCAAATTAAGTGTCATATGAAATAGCTACTGAGTATAATAGACATTTTTACTTAAAATCTAAGGTCACTAAGGGAAAAAAACAATATGTCACTGAGTTCATGTCAAATGATCTTTGTACAGTCCAAGGTTACAAAAAAGTACAATTTATAAGGACCAAGGTGTTAATGCTTTATTTACAAGACACTCTCAAAGTTACACCTTAGTTTCTTAAATATAGTTATTTCTTTTAGGACCTTAGATTGTTTTGATGTCATTATTTTAGGATTTATTGAGCTTATTCTTTTAAGATACCAAAATAGAGTTATGAGATCCTACTTAAAAAATATAAAAAACGTAAAAAAGTAAAAAATTAAATTTTTACTTTTTTAAATAACTGCTTCATTTGACACTTAGTTTGAAATGTCTCGTATAAACCCAATGCCTCACTATAATATCTCAAGCACGAAGTATTTAAAAAAAATCTGACGTATTTTTGGACAGTAACTTATCTAAATAATTTCCTTACGTTCGAATATACTTAATTTAAAATTAAATTCGTCACAATTATGAAAATGGAAATTGGAACAATTAATATATTATTCTTATTAACAAATGAAAATCCTGTATAAAGTGAAAGTACAGAATTGAATCGATGATAAAACATTTAATCATAGGTTGATTGATTATGCGCTACGCATAATCCGACGAGTAAAACTACATTTAATATAGCAACACTTCTCTCCCTGAATGCGTTGTGAGTCCGAGTGCTGAATATAAGGCCATTTCATGTGAATGACGACCGTTAAAAGTTCAACACACCATTTATAAAATCTCTTCCCCTATGGGAATAACATCCTCGATTTCGCGAATCAAGACAAACTGTCTGCTTAATTTACGTAGGTTTTATAATCGAGCTTATAGACACACTCACAAAATATCTTGCCATATTACTTTTATCGTGTGTGGTAATGGTTATTTATAATATTTATATATGTATATCGTTAAATTGTTTTGTAACTTACGTTGAGTAACTATCACTGCGCTTATTTCCTCGTAATAACGTATAATCAGTTTCTTTTTTCTTTCCTTTTTTCTACTTTTTGTTTTTTATTTCATTAATATCCTTTACACATTCACGCGGATGGCTTTCACACTTTCTCTCAAACAACAAAGAATACAAATAAAAAAATATTAAGAAACATAGGGTTCATGTGTAAAATCCATACCGGTGCGACGACCACGCCAACGTCAAGCCAATTTTTTTTATTTCTTTTTTTTTCTTATTTCTTTCTTTCTTTTATTTTCTTCAAACATTTTTCTTAACTTTGTCGTTCTCAAAAGAAACTTTTGTGTGTTACAAACAATAATAACAATAACATTTGCTAGATGAATTTTTATCGTTGAGTAATTGATTAGTTTTTTTGGAGTGGTGCATACAAAATTGTCAAAATGTTCTTTGTTCTCAGTGTATTTGTTTACTGGTGGCAGGCATTTGTGGTTCGTCATGGTATACACGACGAGCCAAGGTTTTTTAAAGTAATAGGACTGGAAAATTCTACGATCAGCGGCCAAAAAAAATCTCGTCAACAGGATCTTTAAGCAGCGGATCGTTGCTTCATTTTTAAGTCATAAAATCCTGGCTATTCATATATATTTAACTAGTAATTTACCAATCAGGCTCTACTCATTTTCCTTTTTTTATCATTTTCTTTTTTTCGCTTATTTTTTGCATTTTTATTGGGCAGTTAAACCAGAAACATATGACTACTGCCCGTCAAAAGTAAGTTATTAATTTCGCAGCTTAGGAAGACAGTAAATTATTCGGAACGCGATTGCAATAATAAAGAGTTGCAACGTTTTTATTTTTTTTTTTTTTCTTCGTGCGTTTCACCTTGGTTTCATATTTTTTCATGCACGCCATGTTAATATGTCTAATAAACATTTCACGGTTCGTCGGTGGTGCTGGAACGAACGTAATTATGAAAGTATACCTTATTACGAACATATTACGTATTATGAGCAATAAAAGTTGAGTCGGTGAAACTTTCTTAGGCCCAACGCGTTTTCTCCTCTTACGCCATTTTGCGCGTCTTACGTGGATGCAGATATTTAGAATTTATAGCTTCACAACTAGAGAGATACGTGATTTCTTTCTCTATTCTTCCTCCTTTTTTTTTTTTATTTTGTGAAAATATGGCCCCATTGTTACAGGCTCGATGTAAATTTCGCGAATTGTTCAATATTTTTTTCCTTCCCTTCTTCTTTCTTCCTGAGTCTGCAACAGGCTTTGTCAAATTCCATGCCATGTACATCAATGATTGTGATCCTTTCGTATCTTTTATAAGTACTTCGGTTCGTCGCTGATCGTCCTTTGTTTTAAAATTGTTTTCAATTTGAAACTATGTTGTGTGTAAAATGCAACACTTCGGTCCCACTTTTTTCTACAATTTTTTTTCTTTGCTATGTATAACGAGATACAAGAACACTTTAATGCTATTCAGTAGCAAAGTTGCGTTCTTTGAAGCGTTCTACAAAGTTGGCGGAACATTAGTGTTTCTTTTTTCTTTTATTTTAAACAAATTAATATTCGTTCTTATTGAATGTTTAGATTTTTATGACTATTATTTTCGATCCTTGTTAAAAATGATTTCAGATGAAATTTGTTTCTCAAAGTATTCTCTTAAAGAATCACAATTGTACTGTGAATGCAACTGGCATCAAATTGAACCCTCTTTAGATCTCTCCATATTAATCCTACATTGTGTACATGTTTTGACAACCTGATCTCCTACACATCTTTTGTTCATTTGTAATATTAACAATAAAACCACGAGTCAAAAATCGTTTGCTTTCAATGTTTATGCAAAAACATATTTCTTACCCTCTGCATCTAGTATTTTATCTTTTTTATGTGAAAACAGGAAAAACATAACATTATGTTACGTAGAAATATGACTTTCAAGTATGCAGTCAAGGTCAAGAAATATGTCTAATTACATTTACTATATTTCCATTTCACCTAACTTTCATCCACCTTTATCCATTTTCGATAGCTTTATTCCTACGTTCTGACCGCTTGTGTGCGTATATTTTGAGAATCCTCGCCTTGAGCAGGCAAACAGCAGTTAATTGGCCTTTAGTCGAATAATTCACGCGAAAAGTCGAAGACTCGCTGAGGCTTCAGTCTTTCAGTCGTTAACACCAGGGACGAAAAATCTCTATTTTATTCGTGTTCGCAAGAATAACAGAACCTGTTAAATCGCAACAAAATCGGAAAATACTTGGATACATTTACATTAACATCTATTCAAATTAATATATATCATTTTGTGTATATTAATAAATTTTCATGAAGAAGAATTGCAACTTTTGTGAAACTAAAAGAACTGACACCGAAGTATTTTAATAACGGGATTAGAAATATTTTAACGATAATGTTAGGTCATTCAAATTTAACAAAATGGTGATCGGAGGTTATCGGTGTCAATTAATATTAACAGATTTTCTGTACAACCTATAAGTACCATTTTCAAAAAGAGTCCCTGGTCAACGTGAACGCATTTCATATTTGTTCTTACGTTGTTTCGTAAGACAATGTATATGTATGTGGATGTGTAAACGCATGTGTGTGTATGTGAGCATGCGTCGTACGTGAAAGTAACGAAATTGAACAATTGTCTCTCAGAGACTCGTGACGATGTGTGGCTTGGCAGTGGTGGAAGCAATCTTAGATAGTTGCACGTCAATGGGAATGCGATCGTCGTACAGTGTTGGCGCCTGCAGGATTTGTACCGACAAGCACGGCTAGTGTAAAAATCCACAGGAATAACCTGTCAAGCACCATCGCGACGTACTTCCAATCTTCTTTGACCTAAAGAAATGACAATTAAATTAATTATATGAATAATTCCTAAATTAATTGAATATTAGTATAACGTTAAATTAGGTGATCGAATATTTTCAACCTTTTATTATCTTTTACAAAGAAAATTCAAAGTTTGCATACTCTGGTAGAGTCCTCTTCTCTCTTTGTGTGATCAGCAATAAAACGAATGCCTTCGATAGCCTTATACAGTTCTGGGCAGTGATGCCAATGATGAAGAGTGTTACAGAGAGCGTCCACGCTCTCCTCGGTCAGCAGTTGCGGTGGAGGAGCAGCCGTGGCCGCTGGTGAACCGTGAATGCGACACGCACTTCCTAAATTCACAGCTTCCAATTCCCTAATAAGCGTATATTTTCTTAAGATAGACATACATTACAATATTTTTGTTATTTTACTTAAGATATTTTTTAAAGAAATATTCGTTATTATGCCTTGTTACCTACGAAAATATGATTGCCTTGTAAGAAAATTAGCAATAATTCAGAGAAAAGACTAACATTATATAAACAACATTTACCGAGGGTGTAATTCGTCCCGCGAATCGAGACTCGGGAACAGAACGGAGGATTCGACCAACTCCGAAGCCGAAGTCTCTACAAAGAGAGAAGGATCTCGTAATTCGAGACCATTGCACGTTCTAACCATCATTCGTTGACTGTGATGGCCACCCATGCTACGTTTGTCTATTTGGTACTGCGGCCTGTTAAAGTATCGATAAAAAATACAATTAACATCAGATAGAAACAATTTATATACAAATAAAATATGTTTCAATTTATATTTTTTAACTTTCCAGCAGGTATTCTTTTAAAGATTCTAATATTACTACAATTTTTTTAAATGAATAAAATTAGCAGGCAATCCTCATCAAAACTTTAACAACTAATTCAAAGAATTTGTGTACACATTTTTACAGCCTGTTTAAATATATTCGTAGTGGTGATATCAACAAGCTTATTCTTCCGAAGTATCTTGATACTCACTAACGATGGAGATTAACTTTTAAGCTCGTGAAACTACGCTCTATACTATCACGTTACTGGAATGGTATTTCGTTTGTACAGGCGATATGATTGTTATAAGGCGATGGTATCAAGCATGTCGGTGGACATAGTGACAATTTGTTATAATCGATGTAATCAATTACTGGGAACATTACGTTGCATGTCGTGTATAAAAAATTCCAACAAGGTGCTACGACGTAGTGCTGAACTGTGCATAACGTTGTATGGAACTGTCGAGCTACCGTGTTAGCATTTACAGTGACTAATGTGCAGGATTCCAGATCGTTTGAACGAGATAAATGGTTCTGCGAATTTTCAGTCCCCGCCCTTGTGCAAATTTCTTCATCTTCTCATTAATCAGGATCTCAGCTTTCGAGTCTCGATACATCATTTTCAATATTTCGACAAATTTCCAATATCTTCCTTTTCTTTAAATTCTTTCTTCTTCCATGACATACTTTTTTTTCATCTCAAAGAAACAAATTTCGATATTTTGCTGTTTGTTTGCATCTCGGCCAAAACTGGAGATCAGTAAATACAAATTCAATTCTAATTTGGTGGACAGAGAAAGAGAGAAATGGGGAGAGAGATAGAGACAGACAGACAGAGAAAGAGAGAGAGAGAATGGTGGATTGTGCTAATGGTTGCAGACACGACGTGACACTAACGTCACGTGCGAGGCCACTAATGAACGTTCTAATGCTGCTTGGCATAGACCCAACGGCTGGTCCAAATGCTCGGTAGAATCATATCTTGCCTGGAATCGTAATCGGATCTCTTCGAAGACGTATTATACCTGCGCATCACCAGTAGTCTTGGCAGAACATGGATAAAAACACGACGGACCCACGGTGCCATCACGTGCGTCTGTGGCGACCGGAAGTGAACATTGAGGACTAACACGGTTGCGCATATACTGAAAACAGACGTTGCGTTAATTTATAGCGTTATTTTTAATCAACTATATATTAAATGGTTGAACACAGTCAAACCTTACTTCCAATTTTATCACAAAACTTTTATTTATTTATTATTATTCTATTCATAGTAGTTATTCAATGTTAAACAGCCGTAACTCTTCATGCATCGCTCGCGATTCGTTTGTAATCGGTCCTGATATATTTCATTCGACAAAATGTCATTTGCTATTCGGTCGAGACCTCTTGAGAATTGAAATACATGTCGATGGTTAGTACCTGACGGTGTCTAGGACCATGGTGAAAAGGACGAATTTACCGAGAAGCGGTACCACGAGCGATGTGGGCGGGATAATTTCGGCCAGCAGGAGGAAGAACACAGTCAGCGACAGTAAAATCGAAATTGATAGGCTGATCTGTAATCAAAGAATCAATCGTTAATCACATTCCATTGTCACTATCTTTCAAGAATGGTATCAGAGAAAGACAGACAGAAGAAAGTACAAAAGGAAACAAATAGGTGGGACAGACACCGAGGAAAAAAGAGGAAAAAAGAGGAAAAAAGAGGAAAAAAGGAAAAAGGAAGAAAATAGGAAACGATCGAAGACAATGTTCTGATTCGATTCAGAATTTGAAGGGCATGCTCGAGCAAAGTGACTACGCCACAAAGAGACAAAGAAGAGCCCTCGAGGTTAAGTGTGAAGAACAAAACGTTCCTTTCATTCGTTCATGACACAGTATCGCATTTCGAAACGTGTTAAGGTCGTGTCAATGCTTGTAATATCAGTCAACTTATCCACACGCGTACACGATTAGACGCCGACCAGAAGAGAAAAGGAAAAAGAAGGAAAACCATAATTATAAAAAAAAAATTACCATTATTAATACATCTTGGAAATAATATCTCATTTAAATTAAACCTCTTCCTTTCGAACGTCATTTGGCAAGAATTCGCGGTCTCAGGTGGACATCTACAAACAAAAGAAAAGAAGAGAAAAGAAGAAAAATCATAGTTTAAAAAATTACCATTATCAATACATCTCGGGGATAATATCTCATTTAAAATAAAACTTCCGCTATTCGGACATCGTTTGGCAAGAATCTGCAGAATTTTGGATGCACCGTTCACCAGGCGAATTTCTTTTAAACTAATACCCAAGCTCTCCAAAGCAAGAAAGCGTGCAATGATACAACTGCACTCAGAGAACACGCGAGTACACGCAAAGATAAATGCAAGTGGGGTATTTCGCGATAGGTCGGTGTAGGTTTCAAATCAGTAGGCAAACCAGAAACGAAGAACAAAGCCCGATTCGAGAGGGCATTGTTTCACCGGGTTGGCAGCATTCGTCTAAAGTAGCTAGCAGATTCGACGTTCAAGCTGCACCCCCGGCTCTCCGTCGCGATTGCCCTTTTACAACGGGATTCACCGCGAAATTTTTGTGTTCGCAAGTCGTTTGCACTCGGTGATACCGCAAGGGGAATCCCACTGAAGACGGACCAATCGATATCGAGATGGAAGTTGTTCGGGACGAAACAACGATATACGGTCGAAGATGAGTTTCAAAATGGCGACGAATTGCTTATTCTAAATCCCATAATTTAAAATTTTAAAACGTTTATCATTTATAGCGCACTACATAAGTAGTGTGTAAGAGTACAAATTGAAATGGACTGTGAAAATCTAAAAAGCGTACAGGAGTGATCACATAATTATAAACAAAAAACAACGACTAATTACTATAGCGATTCTCAGACTGTGGTACATTGCACATCTCCAAAATTGACCAGATTATATCAATCTTTGAAAAATAATATCGATCTTAACCTACTGTAATGTAATATTCAGAAAGAAAAAGGGGAGAAGGTTCAAAATGGAAGAAAGTATGAGGTATCTCTAAGTCTTTGGATACCTTTAATGACTGAGACTCGTCACCTTTTTTAATCTTTTACATTGTTTCTGTGACTCTGATTGGCTGAAGGAATCTCGACATGCGTATTGCATTTATTTTTTGAAAATAGGGAAACTTTGGAATAAAATCCATCGCTTTTACATACTATTACTCCAAGCTACTTCAGGTACGAAGAGAATTAAATCTGTTTTGTATGTGACATATTTATCAAAGAAATCGGTATCCAAAGTCTGAAGGAAGAAGAGTCTCAGTCTGGAGACGGTGTCCTTTTCGATAGGAATCGAAGTGTCGGCTGCGGATGGCACGCTGACATCTGACCTTCTCCCCTTTTTTCCCGACCAACCCCGCCACCCTCGAGGTTCCCCCTTTACCCTTTTGCCCGGCTGTTTCGAGCCAGAACAATACGACTGAATTATAGAGGCGCACACGGCGTCAAGTGGGTATCGGCTCGAGGTCAAGAGTCTGCTAGGAATGGAGGCCGAACGGCATTTAGAGGTTTACATTCCGCCGATGGATTTTGATATTTGACCCTCTCCACCCGGAATTCTGATCGAACGAGTCGACTCGCCACGAAATCGCTTCTATACGCGATACACCGCGAATAATATTTTCCATTTCCCTTTGTCCGACATCTTCTTCGTCTTCTTCCTCATGTTACTACAAGCATCGAAAGTTTCGCAGAAGTTTATTCAGCTCTGATCTAGGCAGTAATCTCTCAGCCAACGATACGTGATACACGTGATATAAATATAAACCACTGGGTTCCTTTTTAATCTTTTTCTATCCTCTTTTGTTTTTCTTCTTTATTTTTTTTTGGTTCTGTTGGTTTAGAGAAATTGGTTTGGAGAAACATCACGTGGAAAATACGCTTTCAGGCTTTCCGAATCCGATTTCGTTGAAACGTGCTGTTTGCCATTTTTCGTGCATCGCGAAAATTTCCACGTTCACGAGAGTTGGTGTGAAAAAATTTGAAGGCTTCGGGAGCTTTGGAAAATTGATCACGACGCAGTAGCGTGTTAATAAAGTTGGAGGGGAAGAGAGATGGAAAGAACGGGAAAGAGACCTCTTCGTCCTGTAAGAATGGCGGTGCACCGTTCCTCTTCGTCTCATCGCGTCACGTGGAACGGGAAGCGACGACGAATTTAATATCCTTTATTGGCTTTACTTTCCTCTCGAATCGGCCGTGCACCAACGAAATTTATCGATACACTTTCGCGACGCCCTCGGCTCGCGGTTCTTATATTAAACTCGCGGAAACCCCGACGAACTTTTCCCGCTCGTAAATCCCGGTTAACGATCGGCCATGTTTCACCTTGTGATTTAAGGGCCATGTGCTACCGTGGACTCGTGGTTCACGGTTAAATCAAAGATTCGAGATAAATTTATCATTGCCTGAGAAACGTTGATGAACTTAACGCGGTGTTATACATATTCGCATGCACTTCCGCTGGTAAGCATCGTTTTCTTCCTTACCGACGTGCAATTTTTCCTTTTATCATCCTATACCACGCGACGAAAATAATATCGGTGTTCATTAGATCATTGCTACTTTTGCGTTTGAATGTAAGTCTTACAACTGGTCCACAGTCCAAAAATTAGCTCGCAGAAGTTCGCTACCAATCGTTGCACACACAGATCCAAATTATTTTGTAATTTCTCATCTATTAAACGTCCAACAACACAGACACGCTGACCATTTTTAATCATGCACACTCGAGCAGCCTTCCATCCAGGTAGACTAAACCTGATAGAACATCGCAGGGTCCCAAGAAACCATAGAAAAAAGAAAAAAAAATATGAAATACACGAAAAAGAAGCGAAAGATATAAAGATAAAAAGGTTGGCGTGTTAATAAACGCTGCTCACCTTCTCGCCACTGTCGCTTGGCAGATAGAAGACCAACACCGTGAGAAACGAGATGCCCATGCACGGTATTATAAGGTTGACGGTGTAAAATAGAGTCTTCCGTCTCATGGTGATGTTGAACGTGATGTCGAGGTAGGGCTCGTCGCAGCACGTGTAAAATTTTTCATTTCTGCAAATGAAACATCGGCGGCGTGACGTTCTTAAAGGAATAGACAGGCGCTCATGCGGCGAATTGTTATCCGGGAACGGCTCTCTGAACGTGTACACGCTATTTCGCTGCGAGAACGTTGTGTACACGTTCTTGGAAATTTCGTCGGGCAGATTATGCTTTCGTCTCGAATGCCGTTTCGCCGGAGAATCGCTAGTTTCACGGGAATTGGCACCAGGCGGAAGAGAGTCTCGGCGCCGGAAGTGCGGCCGTAGAGGACGGTTCCTCGGGGATGTCTTACCTCACGGCTGGGACTTCGAGGATGTCCCACTCGACGGAAGTGTAAAACTCCGTCAGATCGACGCCGATTTCGACGACGTTGCTGCCATGGATCTCGTCGATGTGTCGAAGATCGACCTGCGGAATTTCGAATCATGCGTGTAATTGGAACAAGTGGTTTGCGATTATAAGATGATGTTAGTTGACAAATTTTTTCGTTTTAACTTTTTCTTTCTAAATATTGGACAGTGTCGATAATCAAAATGGGAATTGGACTAATAGTAATAGGAATTTTGATATATTTTATAGCGAAGTAATATAATAGTACTTTGTTTCATATCTATTAGCTTTCTTTGTTCATTAATTGCAATTATAAGATGCTAAATTAAAGATGGCGTTGTTTGACAAATTTTTCTTCCTTTTTTCTTTTTAAATATTGGACAGTGTCGATAATCGAAATGGGAATTGAAGCAATGGTAATTTTGATATATTTTATATTAAAGTACTATAATTATACTTTGTTTTATATCGATTAGCTTCCTCTGATAATTAAAAGATTTTGTCTTTTTCGCTTTTTATTTCAGAATTTCGTACTATGTTGGAATTTAAAGCGAAGTTTAGTAATACTCACGGTAATAATAATTTTGATATACTTCATATTAAAGTAATATATTCCATTTTAATCTTTGGATGCAATTACTTATCCTGAACATACTCCGTTTCCAGACATGGTAGTCACAAATCCTTTTCCTCTAGACGTATTTCCAAGATTTTTATTTAGATAGACTCCTATATTCCACGTGCATCTGAACAAGATACGTGACGCAAAAGATGCTAAATATTTTCTAAATCATTTTTCGAAACGATCTATAGTTTGGGAAATAGTATATAATATATACCAGTACACCTATATATAAATTTCATATGTAGAGTAATTTCTCTACACGTGAAATTCGTTGAAACGAGCCATCCTTTCAGATATCCCTGAAAATATTTTGTTCGCGTTGTATTTTACATCATTTGCCGGCTCGGTCTTTCGATTTTTCGATCGTCCGCTATCGACGATTTATTAGCTCATCGAGATGTGTATAATTTGGTGAAAACGGAACGTATCAGTCAATTAATAGAGGAAACGCGAGGCATTACGGCGGATAGGTTTGATCCACTTGAGAGATGGAATGCCATTCGATGTTCCTGATATTTACGTCCATTTCTGCCCGTTAAGTCGGAGTTAACGAGATTCCCCGGCGCAACCGCGCCGGAATCCTCGATTATTACTTCGAGACAACGATTCGAGGCGAAACACCGAGACGATGCGCGATTTGACGCTCTGAAATCGCCACTCGACACGGAAACTTCGGACAATGTTCAATGTTCAACAGAATATCTCTCGTTAAAAAATTAGTAGGTCTTTCAAGTAAGACGTTCGATGCAAGTGCCATATATAGCACCGAGTATGATTTTCACTTGAGAGATAGGTGTCACGGATGAGTAATAATGTGACGAGTTTCTTGATATAGATAATGAATAATACAAAATAAAATCGCATTGTTAATTGCGACATATTGGAAAATTCGTCTTTTTCACATTTGCTAAATTTTAGTGTATTAGCATTAGTATTAGTATTAGTAGTATTAGTATATAATATAGTATTAGTATTATAAATCTGCAGCAATGGATAATTTTCCTTCCAGAATATAGAAATTAGTAAATAAATTAATTTTTACCAATTTTCTTTTAGATTATGAAATTATTTTTTCTTTTAAAAAAAAAAAAGAAAAATATCGAAGATTTCTGGTCTTCGATAAATCTCCGATACTCGAGATCGAAAAATTATCGAATCGTGATCTTAAAGAACTTTTAGTCGGCTGAAATCAAAATGGCGGCGATCTCGGTAAAATAAATTTACGTCGACAAGTTTTTAATAAATCTTCGATCTATTCTTCATTTACCGCGAAATTCTCGAGGTTTAATTTTCAGGGAATTTTCGATTAGATCGCGTCAAAATGGCGGCGATCTCGGTAAAATAAACTTACGTCGACAAATTTTAATAAACCCACGATAATCGAGGAAAAATTCTTAAAGACCAATTCTCGAGGAATCTTACTATCGAATTAAATTGCCGAGCGAGTAAGAAAAGCCGTTAATAAGCGACAAAATGCTATTGGACGGTGGCAATTAACGATCCTGAAATCCTCACGTGTGTCCTGACCGATCGTTAAAAGCGTCTCGCGTAATCATCCCTTATGGAATGTCCATTTCGTATCCCGTATATAAAGCTGATCGATCGGTATGTGCTTCTTATTAAATGAACCTGATGGATATCCCGTTGTCGTGTCTGATGACGTATGGACAACGTATTACACACACACACGCGCGTGATATGCATTATTCATCGATCGGTATAGATATTTTACGCGATACTAGTGGTACCACTGCACGACAATCGTCTGGGAATAATGACGCGAAACGATCTCCTCGTTCTACCCACTTGTGGCTTCGTTACACGTGAATTCTTCTTTCGTTCGATGATCCCGCGATTTTATAATGTCGCCAACATCGATAAAACTTCCTTCTTTTATTTTTTCCTTCCCTCTTCCCCCTTTTCTCTTTCGACGGTATTAAAAGCAGAATTTTAGGGATAACGATGAAAGTTCTTTAATATCGCGGCACAGGGAAAGTTTCGCGAGTTAGTTTCGAAGTACATTTTACGAAAGAACTTATGAAAAAGAATATTTATAATCTTGGTATTAACACAAAGTCGCGATATTCCCGATCTTTCACCGCGTAATTCGCGACACGGTGGAAAGGGAAATCAAATTTCGCGCGGAATTCCCTAGGAAATTAAAAAAAAAACCTATTATTCGGGGTTTTCGCGCGCATTCAAAATTTCATTATTCCCTCGCTGTTTTCATCGTTCACAGCGCGTAACCGAAAAGAGAAACGTTTGCAAAGGAGCAATATTTCACCACTGTAATCCCCTATTGTTTACGATGTAATTCGAAAACGCGAGAAATTCGGCGAATAAACTAAGAACTTCCTAAATCCCCTATTATTCACACAAAAAGAAATTTAACAGATAAACTTCTCCTAAAAATGTTTCCAATAATTTAAAAACCAATTGCTCACTAAAAATCTTCGTGTTACTAGCTACAATAATTTCGTAACTATAAATTCCAATATTTTACCATATAATTAATAACAGAAAAAATTAAAATCTAGCAAATAAATGTCCCTAACAAATTTTTCTAAAAATTAAGAAACCCCTTTTAATCAATTAAAATCTTCTTATCATGAGCTACGATAATTCTATAACTATAATCTCCCATCTCTTACGATATAAATTCACAAAGCGGAAGAAATCTGCCACAAAAAGTTTCTCAAAAAATTACCCTAAAAATTAAGCGAATCTTGATACTAGAAATCGTTTAAAATTTCGTATTAAAATTTCGTTACCTCTTTACCGTTTTCTTCGTCGATACCGCGAAGGAGAAGAGGAATTTCACCGATCGAGGATGTAATCGACGTCCAAGGAAAAAGTATGGCGGCGGCGTATAATAAACAACCCGGTGTATCGCGTGGACGAGGTATTAATCATTGGAAATTTATGTGCGTTTCATTCGGCGCACATCCGTGGCCGCGGCGCACCGGCTTCATGAATAGTGATAAGCCGGACCGAGCTTTTCGTACGAGACGCGCAATAACATGCAAATAAACAAATACCCGGCGCCATTTCTCTACGAGTCACTCCCTTGCCGCGTTAATTCCACTTTCTTAATCTAATTTCCGGCCATGCGCCTCGCTTAACTTACGCCGATGCCTTTTGGTTACTCCGACGCGCCATCTATTGTGTTTTCGGATTATCAAACAATTACGTGTATAATTTCTAAAAATTCTACTTTAGGAGCGTATAACGAGTTACTTGTTAACATAATAACAAGGGTACTATTCGTTGCCTTATTTGCAAGAATTTTTATTCTAAAACTGTTAAAATAATTAACCTTAAAGTAATTAAAATGATTAATTCGTGAACCTAATATCGTGTAATGTGACACATGTAATAAGAAGAAAACTGCGAGATTATATTGGTAAAATTAGAAAATACGTATATACGATATTTATAGAGAACGTTTATTGTAGATATAGGTCGTGGTGGCGCTAGTGAGTTAAGTGGAAAGCCGGGAATGCTTACTCGCAACAGGATTAAATTCGTTTTATTTAATTTAATGCTTACTCGCAACAGGATTAAATTCGTTTTATTTAATTCTTCCGTTTTGTTTGGCTGGAAATTCTATTTCGGAGGCGGTAGAGCAAGTTATTTATTAAGTTTTGAGATTATTAAATCAGTTTTATTCCGATATCGAGCGTAGTGGAATAATTATATTTTCTTGAAAATCGTTCTAATTAGAAGTTGTTAATCGTGTTTCAAATTTCTTTCTTTTTCTCTTAATTAAAAGTTACATCCTAGGTGCGGCAGAGTAAGTTATTTATTAAGTGCTGGGTTTTTGATGCTCCTTAATGAAGATGTGGCAGAAATTCCTAATTTATGCGTTTTCAGGTTACTTTGAAGAGTAGCTTAAGACCTGTTTCGAGATTGTTAAACATATTTTATGCTTCTATCTTAATTAAAAATCGTGTCTTAACCACGCTGGAATAAATTATTTCCTAAGTGTTACATGTTGATCCTTTACTCTGAAAACGTGAGAGAAATTTACTCTACCGAGTATTATGCTCGTTCGAAATGTCAACTATATCGCGACACTATGATCGATTTAATCTCGATGCTCAAAAAATGAAACACTGCACTGTACAACATCGCACATAAACTGTCAAACTTTCCTTAAAAAAAAGCATAATTTTCTCAGGGCTGATGCACAGTAGAAATTTTTAAACCAACGTGAAAAAATATTACTAACTTCCATGAAAATACAAAAATAAAAATTTTAATATAAAATGCAATTTAAAAATATAACTCTCCGCTAAAAAAAAAATTCCATAATCTGCGTTCGTGATTAATTATTACTTCGAAGCAACAACGGTACTTAACTCCTTTAACTTACTTTTCATAAATAAAACCGATCTATTAACAAAAATTTTTAAGTTCCTATAATTACTACTTTTCATTCAGTACAATCCTGCCAGAACTCTCGTTTTTACTCCCCTTTTAAATTTTCTACACCCCCGTTTTGGACACATTCTGCCCGAGGATGGATTGCTTATTAGCAATGAGAAAATTGCGACAGGAAAGTGTAAGGGATCGTTACCTGGAAGCCATCGTAAGTCCACGAGCCGAACTTCATGACACATGTCTGCTCGTCGAACGGGAAATATTCTACGTCGATCTCGCAGGAAGACTTGTATATGGCCGGTGGCTTCCATTCGACCCTCCCTGTGTAATTCAGCGTCGCCTTCGTTGCCAGCGTCACCTCGAAATTACCGTCGGCACTGTACGAATCAAATAAAACCATCGTATCACCGATCAAGATTCCGACAACGTCTGTCTGATAAAAATTCTCCACGAAATTTACCACCGATTCCAACATTTTCGGGGGACCCTTATCGTACCAACCCCGGTGAATCGAGTAAACGAATCTCTTCGTATCAATTAAGGTTGGGTCCCTGGGTAAATTGTAAACTAATTTATAACCGTTTCAGTGACGAATTTCATTGGAAAAATTTTGCTTACATTATTATCGTTAATATTAAATTTACATACATTATTATCGTTATTTATATTTATTATTTTTATGATACTGTACCATAATCATGCATTACTGGAGAATAATAAATAAAAGAAGAGACTGGAAATTTTCTTATTGGAGCCACTATGTGAGAAATATTTTTATATTGAAAAATATTTGTTAAAAAATTATTCGTTAATGATACGGAATCTTCGAATTTTTTGGCTTTTAAGTGGAAAAGGAAAAATAAGGAAATGGGAAGAATTTCTGAGCAGAATTTTATGACAGTTTTCTCTGAAACGAAAATTCGAAAACCATGACACGTGGCAGTGGGCCAAGCAATTTCAGACGATCTCCTATGTTTCGAAGTTAGATCCACGAAGGGGTAGCATCAGATATTAACGTAATTTCCTCGATAATGATGGTCTTACTTGTTGTACAAAACTATATCGGGCCTCCATATATGATCGGATGGCACGTGCAGCATCTCCACCCCACCATATTCCTTTGGATCCCATTTTAACTTGTAATCGTACCATGACTGAAACAAGAAACAATTTAGTCATTCCACACGAAATGGAAATTTTGAAACACGTAAAAAAAGAAGAAAAATATGATCAAAGGATCAATAATACAGTTTAGCAAACTAATAAAATTTCTAACTAATAAATTCATAAATAATCGACATGTGGTTAATTGAAGCGAATTTTTAATCAGTGAAGACGATAAAAGGAATGGTATTAAATATCATCCCTTTGCGAATGACTTGGAGTTGTTATGATTAATATTTTCAATAAATTTTGACGGTGCGAAATAAATTATTTTTGATCTCGTAATTTTTATTATATAATTTTCTATATATCGATAATAATTTTTTGATTAATTTTGACAAGTTTCAGAAAATTCATACTAACTCTTTATCAGAAAACAATATTTCTCCAGTGAAAAGTAAATTATAAGCCACTCGTTTTTAAACGAAAATAGTGTCACGTTATCACCCTTACTATCTCAAACCTCTGCATTTGCCTCTTGCTATTTAAGCAGATTTCAAAGAATGCCCTTAATTACCATATCAAATTTAAAATAACGCAACGACGAGTGGAATGTCGAAATAATATAATTCTACGTGCAAATTTGAATACTATTTCTTATTAATCGTTTCAAAAATATCGACTTCGTTTCAAAAAATCTTCGAATCGCAATTTTCCTGGAAAAATTTGCCGAGTGCAAAGGGTGGAATTAAAAATAAAAATGAAGACGACGTATAAGGAACCAAGGTATCTACAATAAAGAATTACTCTTTACCTTTGCACTCGACAATTTTTTGGCCAAAGAAGGATAGGAGTTCAAAGATTTTCTGTCACAAAACTGACAATATTTTTCTGAGCAGGAATAAGAAATCGTATGATAATTAACACGTAGAATTATTTGATTTCGATACCTCGTACACAGTTACATTATCTAAAATTTGACATATTTATGAATATCGAGCTTCGAAATTTTATCAAACGGCGACTGGAGGGCGCCTCTCGAGTGCAAAGGGTTAACACTAGAACTACCAACCCAGTGAAAATGACTGGTCCCAGAATTTTCCATTTTGTAATCACCGAACACATACACCTGCTTTAACCACTTACGCTGAAAAGACGTGCCAGACACGTCGTAATGCTTTTATCGCAGAATCGCTAACAACGTGGTATATACGTCGTCAATTGTCACAGGAAGACTGGACCGTTCTGGCACACGTGTCTGTGAATTTCTTGCCAGCGCTAGTGGTTAAGAATAAAATTAGTATCAACTCGTATTAAGAAAGAACTGTAATCGATATATTCACTCATATTCATCGTATCGCTGAAATTACTATAATCTGTGAACGTTATAGTTAGGTGCCCATTAAAGATCGGTAGTTCTAGTGTTAATCATCGTAACCACGAAATTTGTCATTGACATTCCATTAAAAAATCATGGGGTTAAAAGAGCCTGTGAAAGAATAGCACAGGGCCAGCAGAAAATGGTGCCTCGCTCGTTTGCGACGATGAAAAGGGACGAAAAGGAAGAGGGAAAAGGACGAAACTGAACGGAACGAAGCTGAGTTCGAAGTTGCAGGGATGTACAGGGAATCATGTGCCAGAATTGTATTTCCCGTATCGTTCGTGTGCACGGCCGATTATCGCGGCCGTTTGTTCTTTTCATCCTTTTCCACGGCGGATTGTTTCCGCGGAGCCTGCCACGGGCAGCAGGCTTACTTTGTTCGCGACGTTGAACAGTTTTGACGTCTGTCAGCTTCCCTGTCGGATCAGATCCCGGGTGAAATTAATTAAAACGAAAGGAACGATGAAACGCGTTGATGGGATGTATGTCGGGAAAAATGCCTGGGATTACACGTGTTTGTCCCGTCTATGCCACTGTTCTCTGTGTTCTTGGGGGACGTTAAAAAAGGCAGCGATGGAATTGACCTTTTAACAGGCAGCTGGTTCGTGGAAAATACACTGAGTTTACAGCGAAGGCGAGTTCTCTCCTCGTGACCACAGTAAATGTCGCAATTTTAGATATTTATTTATTTTGCAGGGATTGTTAACCCTTTGCCGAGATTTCTAAAAATTAGAAAATTTGTTAAGCTTCGATTTCTTCCTGTCATTATTATAACGCGATAATTAATGCTCTGTATCTAGTATCGAAGATCTCGTATCACGCATCGCTGTTCGTGCATTAATCAACGACAAACAGAACATGGACATTTTTCCAAAATTAATTGCAAATAATTTAAACGAAAATTGATCACATGGAATATTATGATCGGCAAGAATAGGAACTATCGTGAAATATCGTGTCACTATAATTTTGGTGTCAAATTTATTCCCCTTGCAACTACATAAACTAAGTAATGACACTCTAACTTGTCATTCCTCTAACCGATTGAAGACTCAAAAATAAAAACGAAAAAATAAAAATAAGGGAATAAACATCTTCAGATTTGTACGTGTCTCTATAACCTTATAAAATATGGTGTCAAAATTATTCCCCTTGCAATTACATAGACTAATTAATAGCACTCTAACTCGCCACCCTTTCAATTGTTTAAAGACTCGAAAATAAAAACGAAAAAATAAAAGTAAAGGAATAAAGATCAACGAAAAGGGAGACAATAAATAAGCGATGTTATATCGAATGCAACGTCTTGCTGGTTAATCGATAAAAATAACACGTTCAGGTTTAGGAAAATAAATCTGCTCCGTTTGAAGTGTCTCGCATATTTCCGCGCTGGTTAGGGGAAAAAAGTATAATGAGGGTACGATAGGAAAGGTAAGAGGGATTGTATGGAACTGTACGTCGAGCTAATTGATAGAGGGGATCGAAGAGAGTATGCGACAGAATGTTAATTAACACGAAGCAGGGGCAGCTTTCTACGGATACCTCATTTGTGTGAGAGAAAAGGGAAAAAAGGGGAAGAAGAAACCGTTGGATGAAAGAAATAAAACCAATTTACCGATGGATTTGCTGAATTACCTCGAATCGGTATCCCCGTGGTTTATTTTTAAACGGCTAAACGGTTAAATAATCGAACCGTCGAACAATCGAGTAATTCCTTGAAAGAGCTGGGATCCTCTTCCGGTTAATAAGGAATACCAATGCAGAACAAACTAGCGCCGCTGAATGTCTGACCTATATTATTTCATACCGCTTAACTCCTCGAGCCCCTTATTCGCCGGGGTTTCGTACACAGAACGTTAAATCTCTATAACTTTTCCGTTCCCGGAGACTCGCCTAAGACCCCGAAAGATCATGCCACGGGGCAGAAGACATCGACAGATAAATATTCCCCCTCGTCCCGGACCCGTTTCCCGATAGGCATCGCCCCTCGCGGCTTAATGGCGTCACGTAAGCCACGTTTAAAGCGGAGATCAAGGATTTTTGACATTAAAGATCGCGATCCAGGGGGAAAAATGAGAACGATCTCTCTTTATTCCCGACAGCTTTATACAAATGGACACTTCGTGACTCCTCGGGGATGAAATTATTTTTGCGTTTCGTTCCTTCGTTCAGCTTTCCCTATATTTCCCTATATTTCCCTATATATTTTCAATTTTCAACATTTCTCCTGTTTTTTTATTTTTCTTAGAGGGGTTTTTGGGGTATAAGGTTGTGGTAAGTTTATATAAAAATTTGGAGACACTTTTAGCTAATTTCTTTTAATTTTACTATTATTTCGGAGTTAATAGTATAGATATTTTTAGATAAATAAATTCTTAGCTATACTTTTCCCTTTTTATTTTTGGGTTTTAAGAAATATGGCGTGGTTTTAAATTTTTGGTATTTAGTACCGATTCCAATATGTCAAAGATATCAAGATTTCTTTTTTGAATGTATTAAATGGATATAAAAATTTAGGAACACTTCTAGCCAATTTCTTGTTAATTCTGATATAAATTAAATATTAATAGCATCGATATTAACGTAATTTTGTTTTTAACATTTGGGTCCTAAGAAATAGGTAAATGGTAATTTCAAATCTTCGGTATTTAGTGTTAATTCCAATATTAATTTAAAATTGCTGCTACAAATATCAATAACATAATAATTTCCTTTATTTTTATAGGGAATTATCGAGAAAATGGAACAAGAGATATTAAAAAATCAATTAAATTTATATCCAGAGAAAAATCGCAAAGACGATTGACCGACGATGTCAAAGATATTAATATAGTCTGAGATTTCTTTTTTGGATATACTAAATCGATATAAAAATTTCGAAACACTTCTAGTCAATTTCTTATTAATTCTGATATTAATTAAAAATGAATACAATTGATATTAACGTAATTTTGTTTTTAACTTTTGGGTCTTAAGAAATACGTAAATGATAATTTAAAATCTTTAGTATTTAGTGTTAATTCAAGTATTAATTTAAAATTGCAGTTAAAAATATCAATAGCATAATAATTTCCTTTATTTTTACAGGGAATTGTCGAGAAAATGGATCACGAGATATTAAAAAATTAATTATACCTATATCAAAAGAAAAATTGCAAAAACCGAAGTGAGAAAGTTAAGTGCAAAATTCTGAGTTCAAAATATGAGGAAGGCTATTCGAGCTGTGATAGGTTTACCACTGTTAATTACCCTGAAGGATCACGTTGAAAGGCAAGGTAAATACCCGAAGATGCTATCGAGTACGTTTAAATTTCACACCCGCCGTTCCCTCGGTAATTCTCGAGGCATATTTACACTAGAATTCGGGGGTCTGGCCGATAAAATCGATCGCAGAAAGTGCGGTCCCAGGGTAAACTGAAAGGCAAACCGAAATTCGACGGAAACCGCTTCTCCTCCGCCTCCTTTTCGCCGGGGCGTTTGTTACACGTGACCAACGCTCCATTAATATATGCGGGAGCAGCGAGTCCCGACGAACCACCAATATTTGATCTGATTATATATCGGTGCTCGTCTTTATGTACCTAGGGTCGTTACCCGGCGACGCTGTCTAACAGATTAATGGCCCGCAAGTACCGCGTCGAATGCGATTCGTCCAAGTGATCGCGGATTCAATTAAGGCAAATTCAGCAAAAATCGACGAAAACCGTGGTGCAAATACCACGGTGGAGAACGTTTCGCATCGTGCAGTTCACCATCGCGCTGTCACCTTTGCTTTCTCAGTTACCAGGCTACCCCCTAATCCTCCTGATCCTTCTGAGCGTTTCATCTGCAAGCTGCGGTTGAAAAATAATTTCCGATGTGGAGGATTGTGGTTGGAGATACGTATTTGGAGAATGTGGGAAATTTCGGGTGCGAAAATCGTGGCAGAGGGTTTTCGTGAAAGACAGGGTAATGGGAGGAGTGTTATTTCGTGGGAAATTGATATATTTGGGAATAAATTTATGGGGATTTTACTGGTTTGAATTATTTCTTGATTTATTTGCTGATTTCTTTTCTCGTTTAGTGCACCGGTGTGCTATAGCGATTTCTGAGGATTTTTAGGTAAAAATTGGTGTTATCTGCTATTGCGAATTTATAAGAATTGACTCGAATAATTATTTTTGTTCGGCTATATCGGTAAAAAATACTGGAATTTTTCACGAATTTTATAATTGCTATTATCTGCTTTTGTGAATTAATAAAAATTAATCAGAATAACAATTTTTTCTTTGGCAATATCGGGAAAAAATATGGGAATTTTTACGAATTTTACAATTGCTATTATTTGCTTTTGAGAATTAATAAAAATTAACCAGAATTTAATTATTTCTTCTTTGGCTAGCTCAGGAGAAAGTATTGGAATTTTTACGTATTTTAATACAATTGCTATAATCATTTTTACCCTGATCATATTAGCGAAGAATAATAGAATTTTAAAAATCCTTTATTATTTATAATAATCAAATTATGAATAAAATGTTGACTTGCTACCAAACCTTTGCTGCGAATACTATTCTTCTGTTCACCACTACAAAGCAGTGTCTTGTCATATAACTACATACAATCGCGAGTTAATTGGAATTATGCAATAGTCCACGAGACCGGAAAACGATCAATATTATGACCCAACGAAACTTCTCTTTGTTTAGAAAAATGTTTATTATTTCCTATTAAACCTACACTTTTAATAATTTACCACACTCGCGCGGTGTACGCTTCGATTACTATGGCAAAAGAGCTCTCTGTCCGTTCTCGATCTGCGCCATTTCCTCGCCATCGCTAATTTCGTGCAAGATAACAAAAAGAAAGGAAAAAAAGGAGGAAGAGGAGGACGGACGAAATGGATGCACGGAAACGGATGCGAGTCTGTCTTACGTAATCTAGCGTTCGAAAGTGGGTTGCACGGTTCACCGGACTTATTTTGCGACTCTCGAGTGGAAGCTCCTGGCCGATTTTCGTTTTACGGACTATTCGCACGTATCCCCGTTTATATATCCTCGCAAAACAATGCCCGGGTGCCACGACTCGAACGATTACCAGAAATGAAACTTATGCAAGCGGAATCCAGCGGACCAGGTCCTCGACTTCTCTCCCTTGCTTCCCTCGAACGCGGTTCAAGGCGAAAAATTATTCCGAAATTTATCCGCGTTAGAGTCGAGTCGATGTTTGCTTGCTTTGGGTTTCGTTGGATCACTCGATCCATCAAGCTCGAGGATCGCAAATTTCGTCCACCTTATTGTGAAACGCGAATTAATAAAATAAAATAGGGGCTATTCAGATTTGGGCGATTAATGCCACTCTTCGAATTTTCTTTTTTCAATTTTCGTGCCAGAGTACTTGGCCGTTCCTGAAGAAAATTTTAGGATTTTTTCGAATTTTAATTCCTACCTCATGCCAAGTATAATTCAACCCCCTGCAGTATAATAACGAGGTCAACTCATTCTCGAAAAATATTGGAATTAAAATTTGAAGAAATTCCAAAATTCTTGTGTAATTTTTTCGCGAATGGAACAGAGGTATTATAATAATTAATTAAAAAATGATAATTCTTCAATACTTCATTTTTCAGAACTAAATCATAATACAGGGGGTTGGTTCGTTTGACTAATATAGTTAAAATAAATTTTTAATTTTCGTATTATGAAGACGAAGGGTTTATATGTGCCTATAATTATGAAAATGGTCTAAGTCATTGACTTAAGAAGAACGATTTTATTATTTATTTCGTGTTGCATTAATTCATACTTCGATAAAATATATTTATTTTCTACAAAACAAGAATTGAATCACTAGATTGAATTTATAGCTTTATCGCAATTAATTTTATAATTTATGACGTATTTAAAGGCCAAAACTTTTAATATTTCAAAGGCAAATACAAGTGACTTCGACCACTTTCATAATCACAGGCACATATACGTTGATTGTGTCGACTGTTAAATTGCTATCAAAGTGTTATATCACATATATTCTAATTTCGATTACTCGAATTTGAGGATCATTTTCAGTCAGGTATACGTAGAAATTATTTATACGATTACTGTACGTACCTGCTCCACCCATAGGTTGGTCGTCATGATTTGATTTTTGAGATTCTGGAAAGAGCAACAAAAAGCGATGACTTTTAAAGAAATTTAACAGAATACTTAATAATTTACTAAGATATGATCATTCCGAGCGATACAGCGAGTTCATAAAATTTAATTGAATTAAAGTCGAATTTCACATTTCAAGTAGACACTAAAATTTAACCATTCCGATTTTTCAAACAGTGATTCGAGATATTTAAAAAGTATATAAATATCGATTAATATCGTTCGTCGATTAAAAATATAAAAATTCACGTCCACTTGGAATTTTTTAAAATTAAAATTAAAATTGGAATAAAAGGAACAAGCAGAAAATTTCCTCCAAAATTAGGTACCTGCAGCTACGTTCTATCGACGATTTCAATAGCGTCGTTCTAGCATCGATCTAGCATATTAAATAATAATAATAATAATAATAATATTAATAATTTTGATGTCCCAAAAAAATGTATACACACTTTAATACCTTATTTTTTCTAATTTATTTTTTCTGTAATCTGTAATTCATCTAAATACATACTGTTTTTATTAGGTTGATAGAAAAATAATTTCGTTCTTTGTATTTTCGATTTTCGTAGCTTGATATTGGAATAAATTGTAAATGTGGTTATGTTACGTATCGTTCGAAAGCGTTAACTCCGTTCTATATCTTGATAATAAATATCTTGTATGTAGTGATGATTTACTTGTATTTAGTGATTTTTATTTAGGTTATTTAATTAGAGACGGAAAAGAAGTAAAACGAAATTATTTTTCTACCAACCTAATATATTCACGCAAAGTGTGTACATATTTCTTTGGGACACCCTGTATAATACAATTTACGAGCATGCTGTACCGTTCGAATTAAATATAAATATGGTTCGATAACAATATTAACCCTTTTACTGCCAACCTGTCGATATACGTCGACCCTTGGTGCTTATGAAAACTGCCGATCGCATTTGTTTACGTTCAGACTATTAATTAAATATTTCTCTGCATGCAAAACAGCGAAAATATCGTAATTTAATTAGAACCGAAATTCAAGTTCGAGAAAATAAGAAAATTACCACGTATCGAAAAATGTTATCGAATTCAGTTTTCCAATTTTTCCTCTTTTCCCATCGTTTCATTTAATTTATTTGTTTATTTATTTGGACGGATGAAAATCCATTTGCACAAAGAGAGTTTAATACGAGTTTCATACTTTGTTGCGAATCAAACGTTTCACGATTTTTTACACGGTACTTGCACACCGTGTAAAAGAGCACCAGGTGTATATACAGGGTGGGTTATTTTAACCCTCTCGTCGAAATTTATTCGCAAACTGCATATTTGCTGTACAAAAAAGCGTTTGAAACGAAAGTTGTTTGATAGAAGGCACAGTGCAATATACTGCTCCAGTTTCTCGTCAAAATATGAAGGTCACCTTGATTTTTTCACACCATAATCACGATGAGATTCGAAAGAGTATGCAAGGATCAATAATTGAGACGTTCACTGCACAAATCGATTAACTCCACTTTTTGAAAAATCTTTAATTTAAGTGCCAAAGCACTTGGTATAATCGTAACTTTTTATATTTATAATGACTTTCCATGATAATTAAGATTAACACCATTAAACGACAAAAATTTCTTGGCCACCGAATAATAAATAATTTATTTCAGAGGTCACTTTGATTAACTCCGTACTCTAATGTAAATCGTTGCAATAATGCAACTCGAATGCACTAGCAAGCAACGAATGATAACGGTGAATTTTATAGTGTCGTCTTATCAGAATTTAAGTAAAATTTAGTCAAATTTAAATTTATTACTTTTTTCACTTGCCAAATCGATTAACTCTTCCAGTAACATAAAAATGGTAACATTACCAACGATTACCCTTTGCCTATTTTTTCTTATAAATTTTATATACCGTTAGACGAAAGTTACATTTGTATTTATGCATTCTACGATATTTATTTCGATTTAAATCATAAAGGGAATTTTAAAAAATAATATACATTATTTCATTGCATTTCTCCACTTTTTGTTTTATGGAGTTAATCAATTTGCGCAGTGAACGGCTCAATTAGACCTACCTAATTCACAATATAAGAAATTTTCTAAATATTATCCAATTAATATAACTTCAAATTTAAATTAAAAAGTAAAATAAAAAAAGATCAATTATTACAATGTACAAACCTCTTTATACCAAACAACCTTTCTCAAATACACTTTTATATACAGAGTTCGCAAATAAATTCGAGCGAAATTAGTGAAATAACTCACCCCATGTAAATACGTTCGCATCCAAACAAGAATCGACTTCTCCAAGACGCTTTTCCAAAATAAAAATCTACATACTTTCGATAATAGCGAAAATGAAAAATTTAAAGATCCATTTCGACTGGCCTGAAGTTGTAATATGAAACAGAAGGGTGAAAGCGAACCATCCGTGTCCGTTTCGTCCGCAATTAATAATATTTGCCCAGAATTAACTCGAGGACTCACTACATCGATCAGCTGCGAGAGTTTGAGCTTGATTTTAACGGTGAGGGCGTCTGTGACGTTGACCACTGGACGAACCAGCTTGTTGTAATTCGACAGGAGGTCGTCGTACAGTCGCTTCGCATCTGGATTTCCTGAACATCCTGGAACAAACAGCCCCGGAAAAGGAGACAAATTACACGACATGGCCTCCGCGGGATCGAAATTTATCGATCCGATCGGCACGCGAATCGCCGACAATGGCTTTCCAACGATTCCCGATGAATGGCCCGAAACGAGTCAAAGTGGTTTCACGCGTTTTTCCTACAGAACGATCGATCCATCTTTTCCACGGAGGGGGCCGCAGTTTGGGCTTCGAACGAACCGATACGAGCATCGACCGAACGCGAAAGAGGGATGAACAATTGCGGCCGCTTAATCAAGGGTTGAAAGCTGTTATAATATCGATTCCGGTTCTCGAAACGGTTTCAAAGAACCATTATTTTCTGTAACTGTTATAAAGAACCGAAATCGGTGAAAATATCGATTTCGGTCATGGTTCTGGCAGCATTTGAAATAGCGGTTTTGTATCAGTTACGTGCGAGGGTCTACGCGTGTACTGCGCGTTCGAGAAAAGAAGGCACAGCGTGTTTACATCCTCGGGGCTAACTTGGTTGACGTTCTCATGATCACAGGCACAGGTGACGTCATTTTCGTCGCCGTTTTCGGCCAACAGCTGTCACTTCCTGTGATCAAGGGAGTGTCAGTGGAATTAATCAACCGTGAGGATATAAACACGCTGTGTCATCTTTTCTATTCAATCGTATATTGTAAATTTTAATTAAATCTTTCTCATACTAATAAATTTCCTTTTCACACTTCTAATGATCATTCTTAAACAAATTTTTATTACGAAACGTGTCATCTCACGCGCAATTGGATACTTACTTTGTAGCCCCTGCATGTATGTACTGTGCGTTTGAGAAAAGAAGGCACATAAGTGTTTACATCCTCGGGGCTAACTTGGTTGACATTCTCATGATCACAAGTACAGGTGACGTTGTCACCCGTGATTTTCATCACCATTTTCGGCAAACAGCTGTCAGTGCCTGTGATCAAGGGAGTATCAGTGGAATTAATCAGACGCGAGGATGTAAACACGCTGTGCCTTCTTTTATATTCAATCGTATATCGCGAATTTTAATTAAATCTTTCTCGTACTAATAAATTTCCTTTTTAAACTTATAATGATCATTCTTAAAGAAATTTTTATTACGAAACGTGTCATCTCACGCGTAATTGGAGACTTACTCTGTACCCCCGCATGTATGTATTGTGCGTTCGGGAAAAGAAGGCACGGTGTGTTTACATCCTCACGGATTGGCTGATTAACTCCACTAACACTTCCTTGATCACAGGTAGTGACTGCTATTGTCCGGAAACGGTGACGAAGGTCATGGGTGACATCGTCAATGCCTCTCATGATCATGGGAGTGTCAGCGAAGTTAGCTCTGAGGATGTAAACACGCTGTGCCTTCTTTTGCTCGAAAGTATAGCACATATGTGCAGAGGGTGAAGATCGTAGACCATCATTCCAAATTTCTTTTCAATTTTACTATCACAACGATTGATTAATACTCAAACGCTTAATATTTCAAATGAAATAAAGTGACTACTACCATTCCCAAAATTGTTACCAATTTTATTATGAAACCACTTGGCTCGTATTCAAACGTTTCATGTTTAAAATAAATATTCTTTATTTCCTATAGTCGATAGACTGAGCCAATGAACGGTTCTTCGCACGAATTTTTCAATTGATCTTTTCACAGACCAAAGTGACTACACCACCGTTCCAAAATTTCTTCGATGTTACTATCAAGGCACTCGGTTGATATTCAAACGCTTGATAATTAATATCACTTTACTCTTCGTAATTACGCGATTTGCCAAATGATCGAGTGAATTGTCAATCACGCGAGGCACATATATACCGATGTCAGTCGAAAGCTCCGGCGGTGGACGACATCCGGCAACAAAAGCTAGAAACGCATCGCGTCGTCGCAATTAATAATCGTGCGAGCGTGTCGAGGAAGGACGACATCCCATAGGATCTCGTATTTATTCCATTTATACGTTAAACGCGGTCCGAGAGGGGCACGATTATTACCGATTAAGCTACAGGGCAGAACGGCCGGCGATTCCGTTAGCGATCTCTGTTCAATGTTTCCATTAATTTTGTAATAGATTTCGCTGGCATGGCCCCCGGCTACGTATTATTTATCGTTTCCGAACATTATATTATCGGTGTTTTACGAGCTTCCTGGAGCGGTACCAGGATGGTTCATAATGCGCGTCAACGTACACGGAGGCAAGGCCGGCTACAATTTCAGTTTTGAAGCGATGCCAGATTATTTACGATACACCTTGCGCGAGTCCCGCCATCTTTCTGATGCATTGTTTCGCGATAATTCCGCCCCTTCCGCGTCTGCATGGGCGAATTTTTACGCCAGCTATTCTTATTTCCTCCGTTCCGTTTCGCAAGATCTTCGAGCTTCCAGATGCAGTAGATATTTTCGTTGCGTGCCCGGCAAAGAATTCTCTAGGAAATACAACCGTGAGGGAGGACCAGCCCATACATGTATACGCAGATTTAGGTACTACTCACTGCTATTCGTATTTTTGAAATCTCTAATTTGTAATTGTGGTAATTATATTTATTATACAATGATTGGTCGAACAGTGATGAGTATAACTGTTGGGAAACGACTAACGACAGCGTCCTCTGAATAGGATGATCCTCTCACACATGTATACGCAGATTTAGGTACTACTCACTGCTATTCGTATTTTTGAAATCTCTAATTTGTAATTGTGGTAACTATAGTTATTATGTGACAATTGGTCGAACAGTGACGAGTATACCTGCTGGAAAACGACTATATTAATGACAGTGTCTTCTGATCCCTCGCTTGCTCTAATTTTTCTCTTAAAACTGCTCTCTCAGAACTCTCTATAATACAACTTTCAATTATAACTACTCAGGTCTCTCCACGACAACTACAGCCTTACACGAACTTCTCTGACACCCTGTATACCCTTACGCATTCATTCTCTTTCATTCTAATCCTCAACCTCTCTCTCTCGATTCATTTCCTCACTTTCACTCAAAATTCCTCAGCTATAAATAGCCCCTCCACTTGCACTCGCAGGTATTAGCCTAAACTACTGCATTCACTCTTTTACAACCATTTTACAACCAAAACACTATTTGCATTCTCTCAGGACCGTACCTATTCCAACCTCACATTACTTTACTTTTAATTCCCCTTCAGCTAATAAATATATTTTCAAATCTAACAAGCCCATAAATTTCTTTTCCAATCCATATACCCTGCATATATTTATTTCACCGTTGATATTGGTGTGAATGTCGATAATTAACGAGATACGAATAAAGGATCAACGGTGGTCACCAGTGAACGTCCATTGTCGATGTTTCCAACTGCTATCGCTAAAAAATTGCATTTTACTTTACTTTCTCCACTCCGTGGAAAGCAGCTTGATATGGAGCGTTGGTCTGCGCGAAGAATGCGCGAACGTGGAGTACCTGTTACGCGTGTAGAACCGTATTTCTTCTAGAATGCCGGCGGCACGTGAAAAACGCTCGGTTCGTGCGAGATGCAGAGGCCGTCGTCAAGGGGTTAAACGTTCAGATTTATTTCGCAGTGCTCCGCGATGTTGCGTAAACGATTCTCGATCGATTCCCAAGGCACCGTGGCCGAGATCGTATCAGCCTCGCCCGCGAACCTGCCCTCCGGTTCTCCCAGCCATCTTGCAGTTTCCGCGCCGCGTTTTTCGCTTACCGGAGATATTTCCGCGAATACGTCGCGGAAACGTTCGAGATATCGTTCAGAGATACAGGCGCGAAAGTTTTGCGATGAAAACCGGCTCCATCTTCTTCGTCCTTCTCGGGTATGGCATATAGATAGGTATTTTAACGCTAGCACTGGCGAGGGGGTTGAAATTATTTGTCGCAGACTCTTTATCTTTGCAATTGTTGAGAATTTACAGTTGCTTTTGACAAAATTAATATATAATTAATATACTATATTAATATAATAATATTAATATTTAATTAATAATAATTAATCTAATTGGCAAAATAATATTTAATAATTATGTACGCTCTTTTATTTTCATTTTATTTTCATTGCTTTGGTTATCAATTTGGTATGATATTTAGGTTCTCATTATAGGTCGGTAGTTCTAGTGTTAAAGAAGGGTACCCCAGATTTCACCTAATTCTCGAATTTATTAAATGTTTTATTAAATACGAGGTATTTTATTAAGCCTGTAATTTATTATTATATTATTCGCTATTTATATTATTTATTATTTATATTATATAATAATAATTAATCTAATTGGCAAAATAATATTTAATAATTATGTATGCTCTGTCATTTTCATTGTTTTGGTTATCAATTTGGTGCGATATTTTGGTTATCATAATTAGGTTCTCATTATAAATCGGTAGTTCAAGTGTTAAACAAGGGTATCCCAGATTTCACCTAATTCTCGAATTTATTAAATGTTTTATTAAATTTTATGAAGCTTGTAATTTATTAGTTCGAATATTAGTCGTTAAAAAATTCAGGAGAATTATTTTTGGTAGGTTGATCTAAATATCTATCTAAATATTAATATATGTACAATATAATAATAGTAGCCTAAATATTGATTTCAAAAAATAACGAGAAAAATCAATTTATTTGAAATAAAAATGTTCGACGTGTTCTATAATAGTTAACTGATCCACCCTGTATATAACGTGTCATGAGACTGATAATAAATATCGCAAGTTAAATTAATAAATTAACAAGAATTCTACGATACAAATCATTTCCAAGATTCGCTTCAAAGATGACTGACTCCGCGCCAAATTCAAATTTCGCGCCACACCTTCGCCAAGGAATTAAAGAATATTCCGATATTTATCCGATTTTATTCGAAAACGTGCCATTTCTGATTTAATCGTTTCTTTAGGAGTACACTCGAGCACTCCAAGTACTTTCAAAGTGTTTAAACTCAACTCGGCTATTTTTCCTCCACTTTTCCCACTTTTTCCCCGATTTAAGTGCACCGTAAATCTGACAAGGTT